CTTTCCGATCGCACCTCGTAAGTCATAGTTATTTGTGGACTTTATGCCAACAACAGAGTTCATTCAGCGTTGATATATTTAAAATGATGTATTGTGATATCAACAAAACTGTTAAGATCCAGAAAACGTTTTTATTTTAAAATCGCACCATCGTCACAAACTTTCAGATTTCAAATGTCCCTTTGTTCGATGATGACTGTATTTTATGCATCTGTTCAGAAGACAAACATCAGAGTGGTAATTTATAGATTACATAATGTAATTAATAAATACAACTTAAAAATTTCGTTTGAAAATTAAAAATAATTGCATTTAGATGTTAAGAATCTATAAGAGTAAACTTTGGTTCACTTACTTGAACATATAAAGAGTTTCATTAATTATGTTGCACAGAAGGCATTAGACTACGAGAGAAATGATGATTTTAGTATTAAATCGAACATATTTCAACAGAATGTAAGGCTACTGGGTTTTTGCGCGGTGTGGTATTTTGGACGCTTGCCGACGTTTAAGAAGTAACTGCTGCCTCATTCATCAGGGTGTGCGCTCCTGAATTATCAGTAAAGTTCCATCACACTGCATGGCGCAATAATTCTGAGGACATGCTAATCCTTGACACCGCGGAAACTAATAGTGTCTGCCTGGCTCAAAACTTGGAATCCTGTCAGAATATCCGACTTCATTGCCGAGATTTGAACCCGGGACTTTCCGACTACGAAGTGCTAACCACTTAGCAACCGTGGGCCTATTTTGAGCTGTGAGAGAGTGGCAAGAACTTTGTCAAAATGGGCGGTAAATTATCTGCTCATACTCTGTGTCGAATGTGGTAAAGTAAGAAGTTGTCAGTGGAACCATGGTTCCGGATAATTTGACGTAAATACTTCATACCTGCTTTACAATTGAGTAAAGTTTGATTAAGACATTGCTTATTTAACTTGAATTAGTTACGCTTAAGATGGGTTTGTGGTAGACGAATGTAATGTAAAGTAATGTATTTTAATATAATGTAATGAAATGTAATGTGATGTAAGGTAAGGTAATGTTATTGTTTAGTGTTCTGTCTGACGACAGGTCCATATGAACAGGATCCTTCCATCCTTTTCTCGGACTGGGACCTGTTCATATACGTTCTTGGCAGATGATCCAGAAGTGGTTTGACATTGCCTTCTTCTGTGTGTGAATGGAGTAATTGTGGGGATGCCACGGAGGAAAACCCCGTGTTGCCTAGACCACGGCCTTGACCAACACAATTCATATCCGTTCTTGGCAGATGATCCAGAAGTGGTTTGCCATTGCCTTCTTCTGTGTGTGAATGGAGTAATTGTTGGGATGCCACGGAGGAAAACTCCGTGTTGCCTAGACCACGGCCTTGCCCAACACAAGTTATAAATTCGGGCACCGCCGAGGTAATGTAAGGTAATGTAAGGTAAGGTAATTATGTAGGTAACCATTGTTGTTTATTTGTTGATAAACAGATGACGTTTCCAAGGTAACATAACAATGTAGTTACACTTTTTCGTTTCACTTTTTGCCGAATGACACTGACCCGAAAATATAGACGTATTTACGTCAAAAAGAAAAGCTGTCCCAACTAAACGCCATGTAGGAGCTTGTGAGAAGAGACGGTATGGCTTCTACTCATTCCTAACCTCGGCACCAGGTGGGATATGGTAACAGAGATAATCCTAAAGCCCTCTGAGATAGATGAAAAAGCGAAGAGAATTTTGCGGTAAATTTTTATTTCATTGCATTTCAATCTCCCCACCCCCCCAACACAGACCCAGAGCTTGCGTGTGTTTCTCTAACACAGTTCGACTACTCAGAGTATTGTGATGTTATCAAACCGGCTGTGTTCCTTGCTTCTGGAATCCTGATCATCACGCGGTATAGTGGCTGACTTTCACGCAACAAATCGATTCTCACACCATCACAAACATTTTTTCGATACAATGAACAAGGGTATATATATATCAAAATATTGAATTCAGTTATATCTGGTGTTTTGAATTAAATCCAGGTTTGTATGAATCGAAAATTTGTTGAGAGGGTTGTAATTTTTTCGGAGTAGGGCAATGTCTAACGTACAAACTGGCTGAATACGTGACCTGCCTTGATTGATAATATTTATTTATTTAAGAGAATGGAAATGTGTGTAGTCCATTTAAGAAGAATCCATATTCATTATTATACGCATTTCGTGGGCGAGTGTGGAAAGCAACCAAAATTGTTGAGCCATAATCCCTTGTAGAACACGATTCATAGTAACTTGAAGTTGATACAAATAGTAAACACATGGTCACATATCGTACGGGCATCTGTAGATACATTTATTTATATCTGTGATGCGTTTACAATTTATTATAAGACTGGAAATGTAAGATGAATTCCAATTTGGACGCTATGTGATAGCATGTATTGGCCAAAATCCCAACTGCTACGTGCTGTGATGAATGGAATTTAAGGAAACTCAGAGACACGCGCCGAATGATTAAATTATTTTTATTGAAGAAAATACTTTGTTATATAGAAATGGTGTTACATTCATGTTTAACGTTCATACTCAATAAAACGTACGTACTTAAGCATCTTAATGTTCGAAATAACTTCTTTCATTGTCAACGCACAAGCGAGCTTGTAGCAAAACAATACCTGTTACTTTGATTTTATTATAATAAAATCAAAGAGATTCAGCTCTTATGGGCGGGCCGCCACTGTAAATACATCTGTTAACTGAAAGCACATCATTTGAAAAGGTTGGTACTTCCTCAGGGACATAGCACAATTACCCGTTATACTGGGGCAACCTAGTCAAATATAATTTGCAATTTTTTTAAGTATCACACGTAGGTCAGAAATCAATACAAAATTCTGAGTCTGTTGCCTTCATAATGACGTTTTTGTAAACGATGTTCATGAAACAAGAATATTTAACCTTCCCCTAGTAACATGAAGACGATGTCGTAACTCGAAACATGTCGGCACAAGTGGATTTATTTAATACAAGACGCAAAGAGAAACTGCTGTGTGTTGATGGATGGTAATATTTTAGATAAAATTAAACGTCTGTAAAATAATTAATTTCAATAAGACTTCTTGTGCAGATAATAACGAGGAGAAATAATTTCTCCTTCTTTGCTGCAAACAATATTTCTCTTTTTTATTTTTTATTTTTGCAATTCCCAGATTTCTACATTATTTTCGTAAGGTACTTATTTAAAATTAATGTGTTCGTCATGGATGTAATCAACTGCAAAATACAGGCAACTCTCGGTTTACGAACATTCGCTATAACGAACGTCACAATTCATTCAAAATTTCTTAAAGTCGCCAATAGAGTTTCTTACAAAACGAAATGCCAAACGTATAGTGAACATAATTGTAAAATTTAAATAAATAAAATTTAGAAAATGTATTTGTTACAATAATTATCAGCTCCAATTAAGGCCTCCCCGTAGATTCCCTGAGAGTCGGAGATCCTTGCCCACCGACTAACAAGGTATCCTGAGAAAACCTTTTACCCTTTCCGCTCACCAGAATAGGAAATGTAGTATCAGAAACTGCACCGGCCAAGCTACTAGGATTGAAACCGTAGATATAACAGTTCAAGGATCAGTGTGTGTGGAAGGTTACTTACTCTCCCATTCCAACATTTTTTCACGTATCTCCTTAATTAATTTTTCTCTTTGTTTGTAGGCGTAATCGCTTGAATTCGGTAGGTTCTTGATGACACAAGTCGAAAACTCGATTCTATGAACATTCATTCCTGCCGCCAAGTACCTGCAATTTGAAATATTAAAAGTGAAAACAAACCCTCGTTCATCATCCATCAGTATTATCTACACTCAACACAATTTGTGTCATATTTTACAGACACAGTTACAGAAAATTTGTAGCTCTACGTGAGATGATGTAGCTCACGAAG